ATTTTTAATGCTCATACAGAGATTTCTTTAACTGAAATACTGAATAGTTTCTTTGGTGTGAAAAACTATAATAGTACAGAGGATCCTAATGAGATAATTAATAATGTGAAATAGGAAGCAAAGGGCTAAAGGTGTAGGGCAACTGGGAAGGGTTGGGGAAAGGTAATAAGGGAGAGGAAAAAAATATGAGAAACTGAAAAATGGAAATAAAGTGTTTGTAAATGGGGAGGGGAGGAGGGGGGTGAAGGGAGGGCAGGGACAAGGGGAAAAAATGAGAATCAAGACCTATTATGTAAAGGTACAGAAACCCAATGATGAATGTAACTGTTTTGTATACCTAAATTGTACCAATAAACTCAATAAAAAGAAAAAAAAATTGATCTCTCCTCCATCATTCACTTCTCTTATCAATTTAATCTTACTTTTTGACATATAAACCAATTTTTTACCAACACACAATAAATATGGAATTGAAAACATTTTTGTATCTTTATTAATATTTATTGGTTTTTCTAGTTTTTATTTTTATTAATAGATGCTTGCATTGCATAACAACTACATTCCTTGTGTGGAGCTGTGCATGATCATAACACATCTTAATTCTCTTTTTATTCCCTTTACCTCTCTGCCCGCTACCTCTCTCCTCCTCTCAATCCTCTTCCCATTTGAAAAAGATCTATCTCCCTTCTTCCTATTAACTATCTTTTATTTTGCCCTTTATTACTATTTTGGCTTTCTCATATAATGAGAAACACATGCAATACTTACGCTTGTGTGTCTCTGTATTTCACTTAATATTATGGTCTCAAGATGCATCCATTTCCTAAAAATGACTCAATTTATTGTTCTTTATGGCAGAGTAGTTCTCTGTTGTACAGAAACACAACATTTCTTTATTAAATCATGTGTTGATGGACATATAGTCTGCTTCTAAGATTTAACTATTATAAATCGTGCTACTATAAACAGGTGTGTATGCATAATGGTCATATGATGTCGTTAACTCTTCCAGGAAAACACCTAGAAGAGGAATAGCTGTGTCAAATGGAATTTCTAGCTTTAGTTTTTTGAAGAATCTCCGTACTATTTCCATAGAGGTTGTGCTAGTTTACATCTCCAGTTTGGCACTCAGTTGGTTGCATGGTTCCCAGGTAGCTCTTTCCTTTTACGTTATATGGCAATGTACACTACTGATAAATGCAATGCACAAAATAAAATCCTTTAAAAAGAAAAAGTAGGCATCTGCAGTTCTACTAATATTAGTGTTGTTATTTTTTTCTTTGTTTGGATCTTGAATTAATTTTCTACATTGCATTGTAACTCATCCCCCAATTTTTTTGTAGCGCACATAAATTAGATGCATATTTTTTTGTTTGTAAGTAATAGCTTTTATTTTTCAGGGATTGATTGCTGCTGTGCTGGGACCCACATTTCAAGATTTGGCAAGAAATGTGAACCAAAATATAAGCAGTCTTTCTGAAATATTTGTGGGTCGTGCTGTGGGATATTTGGGTGGCTGTGCGATTGGTGGAATTCTCTTCAACCGAATGAACCACTTTTTACTTTTGGGTAAGTAAACACCAATTTCACTTCCTTGTGACTTTCAATGAGTTTTCTCCTTGGCTGCAAATAGGAAAAACAGCAGCCTGGAGAATGGTTGGCTACTGAAATGGGGAGGGTTAGGCATCCTCCAAGAAGCTGGGCTTCCCTGCTGTCTCTCACCTTGACAGCAAGAGGCAATCTGTTCTGGGCCCTCTGGAAACCTAGATTGGCTTTTGTGTGTGTGTGTGTGTGTGTGTGTGTGTGTGTGTGTGTGTGTGTAACCTTTAGGCAACCCAACCTTCACTGTAATCAGGGAACCACTTCAGGGTCACACAGGGAACCACTCTGTTCATCAGGGTGGAGGGCAGATCTCCTGGGCCACAGAGATCAGAATGAGCACCTGGAACTCACCCCTGTTCCATGGCCTCTGGATTGAAAATGAAGGGGTCCAGGGTTGTGCGGGACTCTAAGGGCTCTGTTTTTATTCCTATGGCCCCATACCATACTGCTGCTTCCTTCTGAATATAGGTTGAGGAGCTTTTAAAATACTTTTTAAAATAAAATAACATTTTAAAATTTAGATTAATGTGATAAAACACCTAAGAAAGTAGAATAATCTGTTATTGCTGGTGAATAAAAAACTCTGTATTTCCTATGTGTGCATGTATAAATGTACCTGCATATAATCACGTGTACACATACACATTTGTTGTGTGTATGTGTGTATATATATATATGCACACAAGTAGACAGCATGTGTGTGTACACGTGCACCCACATTCACACGTGTATATACATGTGTAAGCACACGTATACATTTGCATGTTTGCATGCACATTTGTATGCTTACGTGTTTGTATGACACACCGTAGGTATACACATGTGTATGTTTATGGATGTGCAAACACACATTTGAGTAGAGCTCTTAAGGATGAGCCCAAGGCCTTACCCATGGCGTGTAATCAACTTAGCACCGAGCTACATACATTCCCTGTCCAGCACTGTGTGTCTTGTATTTCCTTCCCTTTTTTGGGGAAAATTACAGTTTTATTACAAACTACAATAATAACCACATTTTCTTTTCATCTTTTTTCCCCCCGGTACCAGGGATCAAACTCAGGACCTTGAGCTTGTGAGGCAAATGCAGAACCACTGAGCTAAATCTCCAGCTCCTTTCTTTTTCCCTTTTAAATATTACCTCGGGTCTAAAACTCTTCTTCAGTTATTAAATGTGAAATGATTTAATAATTTCTAGCCTGTCTCTCCTGTTGTAAAAGCTTGATTGTGATATAACTTATAGTTTTATTAATAGCAGTTCTAGAATAATCATGGTAATTTATAATTTATGTCATGATAATTTATATTTTGTAGTCCATGAAGCTTATAAAAACATTTAAATGAAATAACCATTTATAGAATCTGCAACTCTCATCTTCACAAGATATCCAAGTTTTAATTTGATCTTATGTAGCATTTTTGTAAGTTTTTGTATTTATTTGACTCAGGAACCTTATGAATACTGTTTATTTAGAGCCAACTTTTTACCTTTTCTTCTCAGGGGTGTCAATGTTGGCTACCACCATTGCTCATTACCTCATTCCTTTTTTCAAGACAGCAGTATTACTGATTGTCATGATGTCTATCACTGGTGCTGGAATTGGTGTTGTGGATACAGGTTAGTGAATCTGCAGTGTCATCTGGAACACTTCTCCTAGGAAAAGTAGAGCAGAAAATATGGAACTGTGTCTTGCAAAGCTCTTGAATGACCTGGACTTATTCAGTTGCTCATGAGGTCACCCAATTGCCCATGAGGGCAGCTCCTTTTCTTGCCAATTAAAGCATCAAACTTGAGCAGCTGACTGTGAAGTGAATTTATAGGCTTTTGTTCTTTAGGAGATTTACAGTATCAGCCCAGGGCAGGATGCCCTCTTATGGGTAATTACTATGCAAATGAGGGAATTCTCAGGAGAGAATTTTATCTTTGTAATGCAAGAGAAATTGATGGTTCAATAGGACATAAATGGCACCACTAGTAGGCTGTGAAAGCATAGAAACAGCCTTCCAATTTAAAATGCCCCCAGTTACTGAGCTAAGAGAAGCCGGTGGCAGGGCACTACTATTCTTCCTTTCCTTTTCTTGCTTAGAAATTCCTGCCTTACTGCCCCTGTGTCATCATATCTTTGAAAATCTGTTAAATGACACAAATGATACCACCAAATCCTGCTTCCTAGCCTGCTTTCCATTCTTTATTTAATAGATTTCGGAAATAGGTTTAGTGTGGTTGCAAAGTTACAGGATAGAATTATATGTCTGTCTAATTAAAAATAAGATAGCACTACTATAAAACTCCGGCTTTTCATCTTGTAGGTGATCAGGTAAGTGAAGATGCTGGCAGGCATTCTTATTTTCTGTAATGAGCACAGCAGGATCCTCAAGTGTGTGGATTCCTGAGCATGTTTTGCATCTGGTATACATATAAATAACGTTCCTGAACTGACTCCTGAGCAAAACTACAGAAACCATTGTAGTAATTTGCGGTAATGTGACCACTATCTGGTAATGAAATATATAATAGTAGGTCTGGTGGCAGTGGGTTAGTGTTCTTCAATCAGAGAAGTGATTCAGATGCAATGTTTGATAACTATGAATATTATCATTCTCAGGCCATGTAATTACAGTGCTTAACTTAAACCATTTCCCCATCTTTCATTGGTAGGTGCAAATGTCCTTATCCTGGCTCTATGGGGGGACAAAGGAGCCCCACACATGCAGGCCCTGCACTTCAGTTTTGCCTTGGGTGCCTTTTTAGCTCCTCTCCTGGCAAAATTGGCCTTGGGAACCACAGTGTCCGCCGAAAACCACACGGAGCCTGACCTTCACCCTCCAGCCCTCAACCAATCCCCTGAAGCCAGCCTGGACCCTCTGTTTGCAGCACCTGATGACTTGAACTTACTGTGGGCTTATGTCTGTTGTGGCACGTACACTTTTGTGGTTTCTGTCTTCCTGTTTGCTCTGTTTTTCAAAAAAACCTCGAAGCACGGAAAATCCACAGCATCTGCCCAGGTGTCTCGAAGAGCTAAATATCACAAGGCCCTGCTCTGTCTCCTTTTCATGTTCTTCTTCTTTTATGTTGGAGCTGAGGTAACCTACGGCTCTTACGTTTTCTCATTTGCAACCACCCATGTTGGCATGGAAGAAAGTGAAGCGGCTGGGTTGAACTCCATCTTCTGGGGGACCTTTGCAGCCTGCAGGGGCCTGGCAATCTTCTTCGCTACGTGTTTGCAGCCTGGAACCATGATTGTATTGAGCAACATTGGCAGTCTGGTCTCGTGTTTATTTCTGGTGCTTTTTGACAAGAACCCACTTTGTCTCTGGATAGCAACTTCAGTGTATGGGGCCTCAATGGCCAGCACCTTTCCCAGTGGTATTTCTTGGCTTGAGCAGTACACAAGCATAAATGGAATTTCTGCAGCATTTATTCTAATTGGAGCTTCCTTGGGACTAATGGCTATTCCTGTAGGAGCAGGAAATCTTCAAGGACAATACCCAGATTTGCCAATAGTTCTCTACACCTGTTTAGGGTCAACAATACTCACTGCTGCATTATTTCCTGTGATGTATAAATTAGCCACCTTTTCCGTTTGTCGCCAGCAAAAAGAAAACATCAAGAGTGAGAACTGGAAAGCTTTGCCCTCTAGCTCAGGCCTGGGAGGATAAAAGTGAGGCAAAAATGTACAGGAATACAGTGATATGGCTTTTGAAGTGATTAAAGGAGTGATACAATGTGACATTCTATAACGTGTAAACATCTAGACGTCGTTTTATGGAGGGCATACTTGAAGTCTCCAACTAATTCCTCTCAACTGCAAGAATGTTTGAATTTTCTCCAGCTAATATTGGACTTTTTCTGCGAAGTACTTCATCAGAAACCAGGACACAGGGGACTAATACCTAGAGAAGATGGATTGCTTGCTGATTTTCTTGAAGAAGCGCCACTTCTAAAGAGGCCGGGAAGAGCAGAGCATTAGCAGATTTTCAGCATGTTTTGCAGATCTAAGTTTCTAGGTCCATCTATAGCAGGTGCTAAAAAGTTTTGAAGTATTCTCTCATTCCCATAGTCTTTCACAAACTACCCAGTGGTCGTACAGTAGGATCTTGCATGAGGCTAGTGTTTGACATGGGGCTGATCATATACTATTTCATAGTCTCTACCTTTTAGCACATACAGAGAAATCATTTGAGCTTGAGTGGTAGCCAATTGAGCAAAACCAAAGAGGAGCAGAATGGATTTGCTCAGCAAATTATGAGATATCCATAAGCTGCCTGGAAAGTTGAGTTTAGTTTTGTAAAAGCGCATCCTTTGAAATAGATGTTTTAATGAATTGATTTACCTCCTCTGTAGGATTGGATGAAAGAATGGTTATGATCCATTTGATTTTTGATGTCTATGAAAAAAATCCAACAAACTGGCTTTCCCACCATGACTGGTCTTCAGGCTCTACACTAAAACACTTCATGTAGGTCTCACTTATCTCATCTCCTGGTCTGTGCTATAAGAAGTAAAAAAAAAAAAATGAGGTGATTTCCAAATTTAAGATCCATGTATTGTAGTTGTATGAGGTATGACCTAGAAATCAATGTAATTGGCAGCCTGTTCTTCCTTTCAACTGAGAAGTGAAAAAAAGAATAGCTTTAAGAATATGCTACTAATTACGAACATGTTCCAATTTAATGTACTTAATGTTTAATATTTCATTTGTAATTTTATTTTAATGCAGCATTTCATCACTGCAATATATACCTATCCTCCACACTTTTAGGATGACATTTTTTTTGGTACTGGGGATCAAACTCAGGTCCTAGCACTTGAGAGGCAGGTACCAGAACCACTGAGCTAAATCCCCAGCTCCACACTTTTAATTACTTTGAAATTAAGATGTCTTACAATAAATGATCATATAGCACTGTAACAAATTAATTGAAAATTTCTGTGTGCAAATATAAAATAATGTTACATTTTACTCTGTCTCAGACTCAATGAAACATCATAATTATTAAATTATTGAAGATTATACTTGTTCAGGCTTTCTAAGAAAAAGTTATATTTGTATACTAATTTTCTTTGTACATATGTGAAAATTGGGACTGGGTGTTCCTTTTTCAAGCTTTGATCCTTAATTATTTTGAGTAATAAATATCATAAGCACTGTAAACCAGACAAAAAGTTCAGTTTACAAAAGGGCATAGTCTTTTCCATAGATTAGAACCCATCATGTGGGGCTCTTCTTTCTGAGTTTGAAATACCTGGGAAACCAAAGTAAGGATGAGAAGGCGGTGTTGGTGGCCTACAAATCAGGGATGACAAGTGGTAGTTCATCTGTGTATGGCAAATCTAGTGCGGCCATCCTTGGACCAATGACTAGAACTGATGACAGATTTTGTTTACTTCTTCGCAAGTCTTATGCTGAACAACATCTAATTTACACCTTATTATATTGTGTTTAAAAATCTAGTTTCTATAAATTTTCTCTTAAGAAAAGTGGCTTTGGCATGTCCTAGGTGAAATATGTGTACTTCTTGACCACTGCCCATTCTCCCTATGTATGCCCAATGCAACGTTTGTTCATCCTAATAACCCAATGACTCTGAAGTGGGTTGGTGGGGAAATTGATAGTAAAAAGCCTCTTACTCTTTTTATACCGTACTTTCTCCTTAGCTTGAGCTTGGAAAATGCCTCTGCTCCATTTCTTGCTTTTCTTCAGGCTGTTGGGGCTTAGACAGCAGTAGCTAATTTGGCCACGGGGAGGCTTGTTATAAGAGGGAATCTGCTATCAATATCTGCTTTTAGAGGGTAGAAGATGGAGTAGAGGGAAAGAATAATGGTAATAACAATGTGACACAACACTCGCAAATCCACACTGGAGTTCACTAGGGTTCCACAATGCAAAATGTGAATGGCCATTGTACTAGCCAGCACTATTTTCCTATAACAAATACTCGAGATCATTCAGTTATAAAGAGAAAAGTTTATTTTGGCTAACAGTTTTGGAATTTCTAGTCCACAACTGCTTGGCTTCAATGCTTTCAGGCCTGTGGCAGTGCACTGCATCATGACAGCAGCGCTTGATAGGATAAAACCATTTGCTGTATGTAATATGTGGCCCTTGGCTTGTTTCTACCAGTGTTAATAACATCACCTTCCCATCCAAAAGTTTACCCATGTTCTGTGTCTGGTCAGCCTACCAATTTTAAATGTCTTTCTGCTGTTCCTGCTTGCTCTCTGTAAATATTGCTAAAACCAGTCAGAAAAACTCATGCTACTTCCTGAGTGCTTTGCTGCCTTGAAACCTCCTCCACTAAGTAAACTAGCCCATCTTCTCAAAGCATGAACTCCACAGAGTCTCAGAGACCAGACATGGTGCTGTCATCTTTTTCTCCACAGTGTATCAAGGATGTCCTTCAGCCTAATTCCCAGCGGAGTCCTCTTTTCTATATGAAATCTCATCAGCTCTGCCTTTAGTGTCCACATCCCTATCAGCATTCTGGTCTTCTGAGCCCTCCCTAGAATCACCCACTAAGCTGTGCTTACAGCATTCTAAGGATTTCTCTCCTAAAAATTCCAGACTCTTCCATATCATCAGCTATTGCAAAGGGCTGGGGACTTAGCTCAGTAATAGTATGTTTGCTTAGTAATAGCAAAGACTTAACCTCTCGGTACAAATTTCCTGTATTAAAAAGTTTCCATTATGTAGCAAATACATGAAATAATTTATAAAAAGAAAAGGCATATGTTGGCTCACAGTTTTGGTGGTTCCAATCCATGGTCAATCCAAAAGTCTTTGTTGCTCTGGGGCCTCTGGAGGCCACACATGATGGGTGGGGGAGTGCATGGCAAAAGAAAGTTTCATCTCAAGGCAAGAAGCAAAAGAAAATTAGAAGGGAGCAGGGTTTCCTCAATCCCCTCCTACTCCAATTAATTACCTAAAAGACCTTCCAGTAGGCCCATCTCTCACAGGTTCCACTACCTAGCAATAGCACCACTCTGGGACCAAGCCTTTAACATATGCATTGGGGAGACATAAAAATTCAAACTGTAGCAGCCATATGTGATCATAGGCCTGTAAAAGCTTGAATATGTATTTCTATTTTGGAAGGAAAAGATTTATTCTAATTCTAAGAAGTAACATTTGTCTCAATGATCAGTTCTTTGGTGTTTGCTGATATATAAATTTTCTACTGCTGAGTAATAAATGACCACAAATATAGCAGCTTAAAACCATATAGATATATTTATTTATATACTTATTTTTGCTGTCCTAGTGATTAACCCCAGGGCTTCCCAAACCAGTTCGAAAAGCTTCCAAACCACATAGCAAGTATAATCAGGGGGGAAAAATGACCAAAATCTAGGTTTATGGAAAAGTTTTTTTGTTCTGTTTTGTTTTGATACTGAGGATCAAACTCAGGACCTTGCACTTGTGAGGCAGGCATAACACCACTGAGCTAAATCCCTGGCCTGAAAAATAATTTTTTTAAAGGAGAAACCAAGAGGAGCAAGTCTATTTTGTATTACTCCACTGCTACATGGTGAAGCCAAGTCGTCATTTGTATGCCTTTGTTCCACATAATAGCTCAAGTGACACAGTGGCCCATGTATGTAATCCCAGATACTAGGGAGACTGAGACAGGAAGATCAAAATTTTGAGGCCATCTGAGCAACTTAACAAGATCTTGTCTCAAAAAATAAAATGAAACAAAAACCAAACAGAAAACAAAAATAAAGAAAAGATTGAGTAAAATATTGATACAGAGCAAATATTGATACTTGTTTAAGAAAATATTCTTTGCCATTAGCCATTTTTGTGAATTTAAAAAATAAGCTTGCATCTTACTTCAGAAATTATTCAAAAATACTTTCAGATTCTTTATTTTGAGTGAACAAAAATATTAGTGATAATTGCATTTTGTGATGTAAAATATGGGTAATGATGTAAAATATGGAAATGTCATGGACCATCTTTGTCTCTGCAGCTTCTTGCCAGTTGTTCACGATCTAATTTCTAAATTTAACAAACTACCAAAGAAACTGCTACTAGTTGGATGTCTTAGTAAATATGTTGCTGGATAATAATCATCTAACCGACCCAATTACAAATATGATTGTGTTTCAGAGTGGAAAGTGTTTTCTAGATGGCACAACATAATGAAACTTTCTCTTCTATACAGAGCCCCACAGCTGAAAAACAACCATTAGTGATGTAATCAAAATAACACAGTGTAATACAGTTCAGCACTTCTACCTTGGAGTATGATTCAGGTCTCCCCACCCCTTCTTATACCTTATGAATGAATCTTAGGAAAAGATACATTTTAAAGTGTGAAAGTTGAGGCTGAGAGTCTAAAAGACCACAGTGTCCTCATCCTAGCTAAACAGTTATAATAACTGATATACCAGGTGTCCTTAACTGCTACCACCTCTGAATCACCTGAGTTTACAGCCATGCATTCTGATCAGGGCAACTTTGGGCACTCAGGGACTCTGGGCAAAGCTGAGTCTTTTCTGGCTCCTCTTAGAAGCCTTGGCACTGGGAAGGAAAGGACAGAATGTCTTATTCCTAATGGAGTGTGTGGTCTACAAGGGTAACCCATGCTTCCCAAGAGGAAAGGGAGGGGCCACACTCATATTGCATATTCGTGGATGTGGGCAGGCATGAGGGTGGGCTCAGTGGCCAAGTTCTGACCACACCGCCCACTGCTAGAGGCTCCCTGGGCCCAGAAATTTGAGGAACTAGGCTGTGGTTCACAAGGACACATGTGAGGACTGACTGGGGATGGTATTTTTCTATTGTTCACTACAGAAGTTATTTGACTCTCCCACCTTTTCAAAACTTGGACAGACTCAGTCGGTGACATCTGAAGTTTCTGTGGATTTGCATTCCCAGTCCACCACCTGCTTTTCCTTTAACTTCATTATTTAGTGTCTCTGTTCCTCAGTTTTCTTTCATGGACCTCAGTTTGAGATTTGCTTTCCCACTTTTCATACCCAGAACTATGATAAAGAAATTAGTGGGCTAATCCAGTAACACTGACCCTTAATCCCAGTATTGTATATCCTAGACCAGCCATCTCGGAAAAGTCCACCTATGACAGCATGAGGCTTTGGGGAAACATCTAGATGCAAACCATAACACTGGCCATTAGAGAAATATAAATTAAAATAATACCAGAAAGAATAGCCCTCATCAAGAAGTCAAAGAATAACAAATGCTGGCAAGGCTGCAGTAAAAAAAGGAACCCTCCTGCATTGTTGGCGAGAATGCAAACTAGTACAATACAACCACTACGGAGATCAGTATAGAGATTCCTCAAAGAACTAAAAATGGAATTCTGTATGACCCACCTATTCCCCTTCTGGAGATAGAGTCTTTAAAGATAGACTCTTTGGGTGGGCTCTACTCAAATATGACTGGCATTGTAATAAGAGAGATTTGTACATAGACAGACCCAGAAGGAAGACCATGCAAAGACACAGGGAGAAGATGTCCCTTACAACCTGAGGAGAGAGGATCAGAAGAAGCCACCACTATGAGCATCTTGATGTTGAACTTGTACCTTCCAGCACTGTGATAAGATGGATTTCTGTTGGTTAAGCAATCTCAACTACAGTATCTTGCTGTTTGAGTC